CATGATCTTCCTAACTATTAGTGACATTTCAGTCATCTTGAGTAATCTCCTCATCTTTTCCCTTTTTCTTCCTGTCTCACACTTAAAGCTATCCAGGATATCTCCATATTTTGATGGGGTTTTTTTTTTTTTCCCATTCCTTCTCTTTTTTTATCTCTGAATTTGTCCATTCTCAAGCAGAGTTTTAGATCTACTTAGGAACATGAGGTATATTGATGAGCAATGAAAAAGTGGGTGAGACAAGAAAGAAAAGGGTAGTAGGAACAGTGAGAGGAAGAAAGATGGAGACAATGAGAAATCAGCTGTCTCTGCTTCCTCCTCTTCTTTCCCAGGTGATCCTTCTACATGCTCTAAATTAATATCAAAGCCAGAGGGAGCAGAAAAAAGGTTGGTGGGAGAAAAAAAACGACAACCTTAGGAAAAGAAAAATCATGATGCAGAAAAGCGTCTGTCCCCTGTCTAATTCCTGCAGTGGCCTGTAGCTGATGGTGCTGAGAAAAATACAGCAGCAAGCTCTGACATTTCATTTCTGTGGAGAATTGAAAAAGGGCTTGCTATAATTCATCGCTTCTTGTAACTCAAACCCTTTCTGACAGGGGTACCTGCGCTGTCTTTTAACAGTGGCACCACAGTGGCTGTAATTGGACATGAAAAATGATGTTGTGTTTCTACTCGCTGGGAGAATTGGGGTGGGGGTAGGTGGGGCAGTGGCAATTTGGTGTGAGATGGTGACATCTGGCATCATTTTGGTGGGTTGGTTTCAGGCAAATAAAAAGGGAGGACAACCCAAAATGAAGGGTCTGAAACTTAGCAAGTGTGATCACCTTGCCTAAGTTATGCAAAGGTGACAGCGAAGGTGATATTCAGCAGAGATGAGCATGCAAAGAATCACAGGAGAATGAGAGGTGTGATGCACATGAAATCCTAACTCCATCATCAAAACGAATATTTATTTTATTTGTGGGAAAGGGATGCACAAGCCCTCTTTCTAAAGCTCTTATTCAGAGGTGCAGTGGCACCACTTCCCAGTAGAGATGGGGAGCAGCAGCCACAGGATTTTCCTGACTCCACAATGGGAGCAARGTTGTGAATAAAACCCTGGTGTGCCACTCTCATGCCACGTCTTTGAAAACTGTGTCTATGTATGTAACCAGAAATCCAAATTAAATTATTTAGCTCTTGCCTGAATCTTTGTGCCTCAGTGGACCTCAGCACACCTTTGCTACAAAATTGTTGTTGAGTGAGGCACCTCAAAATAAATTTTTGGCCAAATTGGACTCTTAATCATGAATGAGAATAAACATTGTCCTGATTTATAAATTCTGGTACAATAAAGTCAAACATCTTCACATTATGCAGAGAATAAAAAGATTAACTCAGGTCCTAAAGGGTAGTAGAGAAGCTAAAGAGCAGACAAACACTTTTGGGAATGGAAAAACACAGTAATGGTAAAAATTAGTTTACTCCTTTCACAGTGGCACCTCAACAGGGATATCATACAATAAGGAATCATGATCATGCTTCAAAGGGGAGCACAAAGAGCATCCATGGGCAGAGGAAAAAAGGACCATGGAATGGGCAGGAGAGTGGCCCATCCTAGAGGAAAGCCCAACGTAGAACACCCATTCCATCTTCCAGTTGAAATGCTGAGYCAGCCTGCCTAGGTCTTTTCCTGTGTTCCAAATCCCTTCTGTATCCTTCTAGTGGCAGCCACATCTGCAGTTCTGGTGATCCCAGGCAGATTTCCTGATGGTATTGATCAGATTTTCTGTCTGTCACATATTCTTTCTGCTGTCCTCTCACAGGACACATATTAGAGATTTCCATATCAGCATTTCCCCAAACGCTCTTCAGAAGGCTCCAATTTGAGGTATAAATTTTGGTTTCATCCCACTTAACTCATGTCAATTTCCAGAAAAAGAATAAACAGAGAACTTGAATATCTGAATTCCCTTCTCCCCAAGAAGATATTTCTTCAGGCTGGGGGATTTACATCTTTCTGCCATTTTACTTCCCCACTTAGCCTTTTCCTGGTCCCCATGACAGGTCCTTGCTCCCAGAGTGTCTTTGTAAAAAAAAAAAAAAAAAAAATTCCATAGATGGAGACAGGAAACTTAATTATTTTCCTCTCAGTGTTTCTCCCTATAATTGGTGTCTTTCATGTCAAGATGATCTCAATTTGTATTATGGGCTCCGTGCAGGCAGCACTTTCTCTTTGGTCTATAAAGAAATTGTCAAGTGTATAAATCATAGTGTACATTAAATTACACTAGCCTTTTACTTATTAATTTCTCCAGTTTTTTCTTCCTCTGTTGGATGATCATTCCCTCACTCTTTTTTTAACTTCCTTCAGAATTGAGTTCTTTTTCTCAGTCCTCAATCTCAGGAGAAAAAAAAACAACAACAAGCGAAACCAAAGAAAACCAAAGAAAACCAAAGAAAACCAAAGAAAACCAAACCAACCAACAAAAAAAAAAGCAGCCCAAAAAAATTTTTTCTCCTTTGTTTTTTTTTTTTTTTTACCAAATTGTCTGATAATCTTCTCTTCTTCAGTGCAAACTGACTGCATCCAACTCAAAAAAGAAGGTAGCGTTCCGTCTAGTTTTTTTATAGGCTGGACCCAAAAGTTTCTTGAGTTCAGTGGAAATTTTCATGGACTTTAGCATGCTTCAGCTCAGAACCTGTCTTGGTAGATTTATGGTATGTTCTGCATCTCAAGGCTGTGTCCATTTGGAGTCCAGGCTTTGCCTCACAAGGCTGTGTGCTGTTCATGTCCTATAAATTCCTGGCTACTGTGACAATTTCTCTTACTGGCTGCTCGGGATGCGGGTTCTGGCTGTCATGGAGAGGACATAAAGGACCTTTGACCACCCTCCTCTGACCACAGGATTGGATTAGCCACAGGGTCCACATTAGGAACCCAGAATAGGTGGAATCCACACTGGTGCAAGCGTKAAAGTGATCAGGTCTCCAGTCAGACCTTGGTACGTGGATGGTGTCGACACCAGCCTGCTGCAAACAYAAACAGGGGCAGAGGTTGAGCAGCTGAGGGAAGAAACTGGGTACTTTGGCTTCATTATACACGAGAACCAAGAAAGGGTTCATCTCACTTGAGTCTAAATGCATGGACAAACTTTATGATCAGTAGCAAGGAACAGGCTACTGCAAAAGACCATTTTTATCTCAAACACCAAGCTTAAAATCACACTTTTTGTACATTTGGAGCTACMCAACATGAATTACTCTCTTCACCTGTGTGATGTCAGACCTTTGGATGCCTGTCACAGCCAGCTGCTCACACATGGGCACAGGAGCCCTGTGTCAGTCCTGGTGATGCCTCACACATCACCTCTGACCCTGCTGATATTTTGTGAAACCTGTGTGTGCAACAGGTCTTTGCAGTGGTAGAAGCCAGGGCTGATACCAGGTTTATCTGTTACCAGATTCTTGGTTGGTTTTAACACCTCATCTGTCTGGATTTTGTTGGATGATGCAGGCACAGAGGAGAGCAGAAACTGCTCAGTAGCATCTGTAGCCACTGATCCTTCTCTTCCAGAGTGCGAGTCTAACAGKAGTCAGTTTATGGATAAGTGCATTTTCCTCTAGAGACAACAATACAGCAGGATCAGCTAGGCTCTTCATCATCTTAACCTACTTGTCAGCCAGCTTGATAACTTGTTATTACTAAATATGTGTGCAGAGCAATTAGAATAAATCTAAGTTATTATGAACTACTTTCAAAAAAAAAAAAAAAAAAAAAAAAAAGGAAAATTAGGGAAAAAAAAAAACCTAACCGCCTTGCTGCCCAACTGTGATTAAGTACAAAAACAGGATAGATAGCATTCCCTGAAGGCATCCTGTGACATTCATCAGCCAATTTGTGGTCTGACTTTATAGGGAAGACATATGTTGGGAGATTCCTATTGCCTTCCGACCTCCTGCTCCTTGTGATGCTCGTTTGAACTTGTACTTCCTTTGTTGCTTGACAAATCAAAAAGATATTTTCGTTCTACTCAGAGATGGCCACACATAGAAAGATATTTTGAATAGTCCATCTGCACAGTGAATTGATTGCTTTATATGACAAGGACTATGAKGCAGGAAAGGGCTTTCAGATTAAAAATCAGCTGGTTCTGATCAGATCTGCATCTCTGGGTATTGACAGGAAGGGGATATCCTCATTTCTGCTCTTCAGRCACCCACATCAGGTTAGGCACTGCCAGTGAAGAACATTGTGAGCATCTGTTGCCCTCTCTCCTGGGAGTGAGCAGCTCTGGGGATAATGGTGGTCCCCAGTGCTTTTGTTCCATGAAAGAGGGAKAATTTGGATAACAGAAAACCTATTCACAGCACAGTGGCAAGGTTTTTATACATACTTATATTGTGATATGAAAAAGGAAAAAGATATCTGAAAAGGCAACAGAAGGAACATTCTGTCCTCTGCTCCAGAAAATTCCCAGTATCCAACACTCCTGGCAGCACATGGACAAATTAGATCCAAATCCCACTCCCCAACTTGGAAATGGAKGCTGCTATGTTACACACCACTGTTGTACTGAGCTTACAGTAGAAATGAAATTAGCTTTTTAATTTCCTTTTCATCACGYCAACCTCTAGAAATTTTTATAATTTAAGTTCCACTGATCCTGATGCTCTGACAAAGCATTTTTGCTCTCACGCACCGGTGTTTCCAGAGGAAACTATTAGAAATTTTAAAAGTTATGTTTAAAATTTCATGACCTGTGTGAAATGAGTCAGATCCCCCTCCCAACAAAGCCACTGTCAGGTGAGAGGAGTGACACTGATTTATTTACCTCAGACCAAGCCGCAGCCTGCACTCCATGGTTAGTTCTTTGTTTACTAATTGCTTTCCCCCCTCTCCTTGTGGAGTAAATTCTGGTGCTAATTATGACGCGCGGTAAAGAAGCAAAGCAAGCCTCTGTATTATGAATGTCTGACTCCTCCATTAATTACGTGTCTGTCTTTGTTCTTCCTTACAGATGAACAGACCGATCCAGGTGAAGCCAGCGGACAGCGAAAGCCGAGGAGGTAGTTGACTGCATTGCTTTCAGCCACAGTGCTAAATATAATTGTTGTCTCTGGCTTCTCTCAGGCAATGTGCTGATCAATTAGTAACGTAATCACTGCCAAAGAAATTCCCTCTGCAGCAAAGATTCTCTTTATTAAATCACCTTTACTTCGTCTCACTTTCCTCATATTCAATTATTATTTGATTTTAAAAGGCAGGCAGGTGCCAGCGATTGCCTGAGAAACAAATAACTGCCTCGTTAAGAAGTGAAGCATCAGGCACTGACTTAACAAAGTTTAACAGCAGTGGACAGCAATGGGGGATTTTTCAGACCCATGTCAGGCTGAGCAGTAGTGGTGTTTAATTTGGTTAGGATAAAGCAGATATTTTATAGTTACTCTAACCGTGTTGTTTCTGCTTGCGCTGAAACAACTCCGCTTTTGGAAAAAGCAAATTCTGAGCTGGCAGAGTTTTCTGCACCTGTATCAGCTTATCTGGATAAACCTGTTGTGGAAACTGAAGACTTCTCTCAGAGCCGGGCAGTTATTCAGGATTTGCRCAGGTGTAGCTGAAATCAGGAGCTGGTCTTTTGCTTTTCCATTGTACACGGTGGATTTGGAAGGCTTTGTTAAGTGATTGTTCGATAGATCACCGGTGATGAGGTGTTTCCTGCAAGAGGTTTTTTAYCTGAACTGATGTGGTGATACTTCACCATACTCTTTTAATAGGAGCCTGTTTGTCAGATCATGTACACAGCTCACTGAGAAAGTAGGATATGGTCTGTTATGCTGGATAAATTACCATTCTGCAATTTCTTTCTCTTGTATCTGTTCATTTATATAGATACACGCAAGTATATATAATGACACTCTCTTCCTCTCCATCCCTATCTCTCTGGGAAAAGAACAGAGAGCCTTTTCCTCATCTATTCAGTAAAAACCTCTAGTGCTTATGTATCAGATAAATGTGGGAGTAGATTTTGTCATTTAGTAATGATGTGGCTCTTAGTTGTCTGAAAACTCTTCAATTTCCACCATAAATATAAACTCTTCTTCATTTGTGGGATGACTATCTTTATACTGGCATTAGTGGAAATCTCCAGCAACAACTGCTTAAAAGAAGAAAAATGCCTCACAGACAAATGWGAACCATGTTTTCATTTGAAAGCTGTGGATTTCAGGGACTTTGACTGCACAAGTGTGAGGCTGAAACTCTCCAGTGACTCAAGGCAGTGGCAGATTTTGTAGGTAGCTTGTAGTTAAAAGGCTCGTGAAACCACAGGGTGAGAGAGAGACTYTGGAAGGAAGGGATATGGTGTCATGTCATTGCAGAACAGGAGAACCGAGTGCTGAGAAAACACCAGAAATCTCTGGCAAAATTATTTCACTTTCAGGGCCTGTCTAAAGAAAATTTGGGGGGATTTGCTTAATACAAGACAGAAAGTATCTAATGGGATCTGGCAAGTTCTGCTATCAAGGGCCAGGGCAGGTTTCTGAYTTGCAACAAAGGCATGTCACATCCTAGAGCGCTGTCCAGTGGTTTTTAWCAGAACCAGGTCAATTTCCTCCCCWTTGCCTCCCTGCCTGACGATCTGGCTCTGYGTCTGAGTGGGATTGGGTAAGCCATGGGCAGTTGTCAATGCCAATCTCCCAGGGGAAATCGGAAAGGCTCAGCTGCCTGGGCAAATGAGGGGACATTATGCACATTCCAGTGGAGTTCGTGCCGACAGCGAGAGTGAAGGGAAGGCCTTTTGTCTATTTAATTAGACATACCAAAAAATAATAATTAGGCTGGCCAATTTGCTTAGCGCGCCTACAGGGTATGTAGCTCCCAATCATTCTTTTTTTTTTTTTTTTTTTTTTTTTTAAATGCAAATCAGTAATAGAGAACACATGCCTGGCTTTCTGGGAAGGGTTTTCAAACTCCTTTGCTAAGAGCAGCTGCTTTCAGGAGCGGCGGTTTGAACTGCAAAGGGCTCCGGTGGCAGTTTGATTCCGCATTATCCGTCACACCAGCGGTCCCCTCCCCATTGTGTTTTTTAGCTAATTATCTCCCCATCTCGCACAGACCTCATCTTTTCCCATCCAGTCTGCTCCCATATTTCTTCTGTCGGTGGCGATCACAATGCGGAGGCCAAGCGGGCGCGCTCATCATTGGWGTGAAAGACACGTTGTCCTAATTCCCCACTGACAAGCTGCTTCTGGGCTGGTGATGCTTCAGGACGGCATGACTCAAGGGCAACCATGGGAGAAAAGAACAATTGGCACCCAAGGGAGGCATTGTAGGAAAACTTACGTTCTTCAAGAGCCCACCGGTTAAAGCAGGCGCAGCAAACAGAATGCTAAAGAGGAGGCCGTGTATCTTAGGAGCACATCAAAAGGCTTCATTAGGGCTGCGAGATAAAGGTCAACTTCAGTAACAAAGAAACTTAAGTTGTGGCTTATTATACCCTGTCCGAGCGTCGGGRTGGGAGGGGGTTTGGAAGGGGAAGCAGCTCCTCTGCACAGCACGAGCCTTTGGACTGCCCAAAGTCCACGCTCTGAACACACATCGTGGCTGGTGTGGAATTCTGGTGCCAGGCCACAGTGTTAATGAGGAAATGCAGTGCTCCCTGCGAGGAGGTTTTTTKCCTGAAAAGGGTGAGCAGTATTCTTGAGGGAGGGAAATTGTGTTTTCTGTAGGGACAAATGCTTRYGTTTTGTTAAAACATGGATCTTTGWATTTTYCAGCAAGTTCTTCCACAACTAAAAGCTGATGAGAGTCACAAATTTATTCTCTCCCTCAACCAGATTTGGCTCACCACTTTTTCCTGTTGTTCTGGAATCTGGATTTTTTTTGTCTTTAGCCCTCCCTGTGTCCTAATTCACAGTTTAARGTGCTAACATTTAGTGTGTGTGAGCAAGAATTTAGGCCATCTAAGTTTGGGAAAGAGTTCAATATATTGTTTGGCACAAATGACACTCAACCCACCAAAATGGAAATGCTGAGTGCCCCTTATTWGTTTTGCTGGGTTTATTATTTTGTTTGTTAATCTACATATTGGACTGGGAGCAAGACAAAGCMTGAAAACCTTTTCAGCAAAAACTGGCATTATTTACATTTGCCTAGTCTCATGGGAAATAGAAATGAATGTGTCCTCAATATATTTCTCTAGGGAAATAGTCTAAATTAATGGAAAAATTTTGCATTTTACATTCCCGCCTGTTTGTGAATATATGTGCATAGTCAAGCTACAAAATGTTCTGTAGGGGTACTCCATCTACAAAATGCTTCATGAAGCTTCAAATACCTGATCAGCAGGTGAGAGGCCTTTGAGATTTAACAGAGACTTTAACATTAATGGAATTGATAGAATCTGATAGAAAGGGAACAAGTCAGTATTTTGTCCTGAAAAATCACAGTGTAAGTCTAGCTCTATTAAGAATTTCTTTAAAATTCTCATTGKTCTTTGCATTGACCAAATCTTAACTTGACTATAAAAGCTACATTGACAGAGATTAGTTAGTCCAACACAGTTTTAGGGATGCAAGCTATAACCCCACATCAAAATTTTGAACGTGACAAATCTCAATCAAACTCTCAGTATTTTCTAGTATTTTCATCTCGGTGCAGGTGGTTTTCCTCAGCCCATTGTCTGATATCCAGCTCTAAAAACAGCCTGTAGATATCCATCACTTAAAGTTTCTCAGACCTGGAGAGAGATTTCAAGCCTGCTTTGTGGTTTGGGGCAGAAGTTTGGRGCCATTTCTTATTTCATCCACAGTATCTCCAGCTCTGTCTAGGCAGCTCTCCCCGCAGCTGGCAGGGTTGACCCGTGATAAACACAGCCCCAAGGCCCCACTATGTTGCAGGGACAGTAACATTTTTTAAAAGAAAGGACTCTTCTGCTGCTCCAGCTTCAACCTGGAGTGATGCTCAGATGCTCCAGTGCCCCCACGCTCCTCTTGAAGGACAGAGGAAGGTCTGTGAAGGAAAGCATGCAAAGATATACACGGTGTGCCACCCTGGCTCCGTGTTAATGTCACTCCAACAAGTATTTCATGACAGTTTTGGTGTCCTCCAGCATTTTATGGAAGAGAAGCAGAAGGCTCCTGGACAAAAGAAAAGAAAAAAGGAAGTGGTTTAGAGTAGACAAGGTGCAGTGTCCTGCAGAGAGGGTGTTTAGTGGTTTACCAGAGATGCTGTGGTGCATCGTATTGCGGTGTTTCCTTCATGCAGGAAATCTGCTAAAGTTTTTATCTGCGTCCTGCTTTTAAGCAGATTATCCTTTGTGCATTTTTGAGGGAGACTTGTGCACTGCCTAATTTTCTGCTGTTTGGACTTCATATTTCAACTGCCTTGCAACATTTCTCTACCCGTTACTTGATGTTCCGGGTCTGAAACGATCTGTTTGGTCATGGTTTATTCCAAATTTAGAGCAAAATGTTCAAGAACTGAATTACAGTTAATAGCAAAACAGTGTGYCTTGCTCTTGCATGGTGATTTGTTTCTTTTTATACCGTTCCATCAGCGTAGTAATGATGATGGGGTCAGAATGGCCTCTCCACATTTCCTAAACCGTATCTCCTTTAGGACAAAAGCCTGGGTCTAATTCTCACTTCATACAGGTAATTTCTACCTTGCTAGCTCTCTGCTGCAGGTGGCAGGGTAACCTGCCCAAGATTTCAGTAACTATTTGTTGTTTAGTTGTTTTCCATTAAACTGCACAGAATAGTGAACCTTGTGCAGGCAGCCAAAACCTCTCAGGAATCTTCCTCATCCAGGTGCTAGCCAGATCTAGGCCTTTTAGGGGCTGCAATCAAGCAAGTCTGGTTGCCTTCAGCTCAGATTTTCTTCACACTGGTATAATAATGCCACATGGAATGATTTCCTTCCTCCTTGAAGCTCTTTTCAAAGAGCAGGTTGGTTGCTCAGACCTTTAGACCAAAAAAGTCCAAAGGAGAGAGTAAAATATGAGAAAGGAAAGAGCAATCTTGAAAGAGCTCAGCACCTTCTCTTCTGCCCTGCTGAAGTATGGGGC